TTTGCAGCTTCCATTTGTCTACAAATTCGAAGACATTCAGTTTTCTTTCGAAGATCAATACGAAATGTTATCCCTATGAGATGCTAAAGACGCTTAAAGAAGTATTAACACAGGATGAATGAATGTACTTCGAGAAAGAATCACAGTTCCAACATCTATTCCACGCACAATGGGAACCACAGTTAAAAATGGCGCTTGCGGGAGTCCTCATTAACCGCTAATCCATTATTGTGAACTCTTTCGTATTTTGAAAACTTATTATTTATTGTGAACTCATTCGTAGTTTGTAAACTCAGTTTTTGTAAACTCTTTCGTATTTTGGCGCTTGCAGGAGTCCTCATTGAGCACGCAGTTATATCTGGTTTGAACAAGGGAGCAGAATTCATATCGATATGCGATGGGACCATACCACTCATCCGTGAAAAATTGGCTATCGATATATTTTGTAATGGTAAAATTGTGTATAACCAACCCATTATTTATTGTGAACTCTTTCATAGTTTGTAAACTCAGTTTTTGTAAACTCTTTCGTATTTTGGATTTTACTTTTACTTTTACTTGGAAATGAGAAAGAAAAAAAAACATAAGTCCAATGGGTCACACAGATCACATGGGTCACATGAGTCACGGGTCACACGGGTCACATGGGTCACGGTTCACGGGACTCATGGGTCACATATGTCGAATTTATCGAATTAGTGACTTGGCATGGTTATGCAGTGATTAATCATGGATATTAACATCAATAACAACTTTAAAATCATGTTCGTTTCAATTTTCATATTCAAATCACTCATGCAAATGTACTCCATAAATGATACTAGTGTTTCATGATAACTTATGAACAAATTGTACTAATGTTCATACAACTCTTACTTATGTTAACGAATTTAACTTGCAGATACCATATTATTATTGTAAAACATTATATAAACCATTTTAACACTTTAAAATCGAGATTTAACCGTATTTTATAAGTGCCACTGAGTCACGGGTCACATGGATCACATGGATCACACAGTATAAAAATGTCTTCGGGTCACATACGTCACAGGTGAGTCACACGGGTCACACAGTTCAAAACTTGTTTCTATCTTTTCAAGACTTTAACACGGTACTAGTGCAAAGAAAATCACCTTATTCAAATAGATTGTCATTCTGGAAAATGTATACAATCACATGGGTCATGAGAACTACGTGAAATCATACAATCATATTATTTATGCAATATATTTATTTGTCCTTCTTTGAACGCTTTGTCCGCGGTTCACCGGGGCCTGGAAACCGATTTTGTTTGGGTCTACCGGTTTTGCGTTTATCTTCCACAATCGGAGGTAATACCACGAGGTTTGCATCCCATGGATCGTCAATGATCCAATCACAACAATTAGGAACCGGATAAATTATTTCTTGATAAGCCAACCGCCATGTCTCCCGAAGAAAGTATAGAGAGCATAAGTCCGGTATACTATTGCCTCTGTTAGTCTTGTGGACTGCTGCGATTGCGTGACTGCATGGATATTTGTCTATATCAAACATCTGACTCGATTTTTCCCCACAAAACACAGTAAACAATTCAAAAACAAGAAAAAACTCACAGAATAACAGTATTTAAGTGAAACTTACCATGTCTCCCGAAGAAAGTATAGAGAGCATAAGTCCGGTATACTATTGCCTCTGTTAGTCTTGTGGACTGCTGCGATTGCGTGACTGCATGGATATTTGTCTATATCAAACATCTGACTCGATTTTTCCCCACAAAACACAGTAAACAATTCAAAAACAAGAAAAAACTCACAGAATAACAGTATTTAAGTGAAACTTACCTATTTGCACGATTCTATTTGATTTTCCGCTGATTTCCACGAGATTTGAAGCAGTTTCGCAAATTATCGAAGAGAGAGCAAGCAAATCGGATAAATGAAGCAAATGTGAGGACACAAAGACCAAATCGGAAGGGAGAGCAAGCAAATCAAAAGAGATACAGAGCAAATCGATGGAGAGAGAGAGCGCAAATCGGCGGCGGCAGAGAGAGAGTGAAAATCGGAGGAGAGAGAGA